CTCACCGCCCCATCTACTACACTGCTTACTCTTCTGCTCACCGCCCCATCTACTACACTGCTTACTCTGCTCCTCACCGCCCCATCTACTACACTGCTTACTCTGCTCCTCACCGCCCCATCTACTACACTGCTTACTCTGCTGCTCATCGCGCTCCCCCCGCGCGCCTTCCTCACGCGGCCGCAACGCCCCGCTATCTGCACGAGCTGGTCCCTCGTCAGGAACGCGGTGCCCACCTGTATGCTACGAATGATTATCGTGTGCACGTTGAAGTTCACCCCCACGGACAGGGTCGTCGTGCAGCACAGACAGAAAAGGGTGTAGCTGCGAAACGCACCTTCCACTATTGCTTTCTCCTTCTTCTCCAGCTGCGAGTGGTGATAGAAAATGCCACTCAGGATTAACTTATCCACGTCCGGAATTTTAACGCTCATCTCCTTCAGTTCGCTCACAAGCTTCACCCTTCTTTCGAGTACTTCCCCCTTCACCTTGTAATTCCTGTTTTTCAAATAATATGGCATAATGTTGCTTATAAAATACGCCACCTTTTCGCTTTTCTTCCTCGTTGGACAAAAGATCAGAACGTTCCGCTGCAGAATGAGTTCCTCCGTCAGCAGGTACACCAGATGATCTGGGTCCAGATAGAACGGCACTCCCAGCGTCCTCTCCAGCTCCTTCTTGTGTATATCTCTGTATATCCCGTTCTCTATCTTGTACAAGTGCTTTATCTTCTGCAGCTTCTCCTTGCTCACGTGCACCTTGGCGTCCAGCCAGTCGCCGATCTGGAAGGTCGTGCGCCATGTAAGGAAGAAAGAGGACGCAAGGATGGTGAAGTAGGCGCGGAAATCGTCAAATAAGACGCGAAAATGGTCAAGTAGGACGCGAAAATGGTCAAGTAAGAGTCGAAGTTGCCTGTACAGCAAGGTAACTCCGCAGAATAAGGCGAAACGCACCTGGTCCACATTCGGCAAAGTCGCGGAAAAGCCGTATACTCGGATGTTAAAGACACTCTCGAAATTCCGCTGGATGTACTTAACTTTCGTGAGCAAAGACTCAATGAAAAAACCCCTCTGCATATCATTAATGTAGTGAATTTCGTCAATAATGAAAATATAATTGCACTTGAGGTTATTTTTTATAATAATGTTGAGTATGATGTTGGCCTGTTCATACGTGCACAGGGCAATGTCGGTGGACAGGCTGTACGAGTACCCAGTAAAATTGGAGCTGTTAAATTTTTTTATATTTAGTGACACGGTGTCTTCTCCGAGCAGCTTCTCGTAGTAATCATTTTTTTCATTAATGAGTGACACCGTTGGGAGGGTTACTATAGCTCTGTACCCCTGGTAAAGGACCAGTCGAATGATTAAAATGTCGTATATTATGGTCTTTCCCATCCCGGTTGGGATGCTGAATAGGAAATTCTTGTAAACAGAGTTGTTCCTTGTGTCATTGTTCGCGTATGGTGTGCCCCATTTGTCGTCACAGAGGTGTGCGTTTGGTGGTTTCCCCTGTGTGGATGGTTTGCATTCATTCGCTTGCCCCCTCTGTGGGGATAGGTCGCGTCCATTTGTTGGTCTCCTTTCTGGGGATATTTCGCGCCCATTTGTTGGTCTCCTTTCTGGTGATATTTCGCGCCCATTCGTTGGCCCCCTCTGTGAGGATATTTCACGGTCTCTTTTCTCTTCATCCCTCTGTTTCAATTCCTCCAGGGGGGTGAAGAACTCCGCGTTGAAAAAGGAGTCTCCGTTTTGGGGATGTCTTCCGTCGGGAGTTCTTCCCTCCGCCGCTTTGTCGTCTACCTCACTTCGCACATTCTTTTCGACTTGCTCGTTCTGAAGGATGCTCCTTAAGCAATCCGCCTGCTCCTTGTATAGCTCGTAAATTCCTAATCGGTTGTACTCGCTGCGGTGTGTGTCGGGGGTGACAAAAGTTTGCTACTAAACTGGACCAAATACTGGCGATGAAACTCAGGAAATGCTTCTCCCTGTGCTCACCTTATGATGGATCGCGGGATGCAGTAATACTCCAACATCTTTTCATCCAAATGGGCTTCCGCGCTGAGGGTCATCAGCTCATTGACGGTACGGTACAGGAGATTCACGTCGTGTATGCTCGACTGGGCGCCTGTCTCTGCGGGGGGGAGCGGCAAATAGCGTGGCGGCAAAGTGGGGAGACGCAACGTGGGTCTCGGAAACGTGTAGGGCGGGAGAACAATGCTCAGCGAAGTGGTCCATCACGGGGGAACCTCAATTTGGCAAAGTTTCTTCCCCGCCTCTTCATTCCAATTTTCCGCACTTGATATGTTCAGCTCGCTCAGGATGCGGTTGTCCATCTCCACGGCGTCTTTGCAGTTCGCCTAGGCAAAAAGGAAAATCGCGCACGCGCGGGGGTGAGCAAAGGTAGAACAGAACGTATGAGGGAAGGTAAGCGGTCGCGTGTCTGTCCTCACACGTGTTTGTTCGCCTCTGTCCATTCGCCTCTGTCCGTTCGCGTGCGTTTCCTCTGCAGGGGATTCTCCCTCTCTCGCACACTGTCGCTTTACTAACGTTGGTGTAAATGCGGCCACACAACGACACGTAAATCAATTGCTGCCTGTGCCGGTACATTTTTTTCTTGTAAATCCCTAATCTGCTCCAGGGTGAAGGGGGGCGAAGCAGGGTGAAGGCAGTTAAATACGGAACATCGCGTAACGGGGTAACAACCCAGGAGAGACATAGCCCTTTGGTTTATGTCAAGTGGACAAGATGGGGAGAGGCACAAAGGACAGGGAGGGGAAGGAAACGGGTGCACTTGGTTTAGTTACGATTTGTCCAGGATTTGACACCCAAAAAAAAAAAAATAAATAATAAAATAAAATAATAAAGCACAATTTAGGGCAGCACTATTCGGCTGGGACTGGTAGGACTGATTTCCCAAGTTCGGTCTTCGAGCCCATCTAACCTTCTATGGCAGATGAACACGTTTGGCTTCTTCTCCTTTGGGCTCTTATCCGGTGGGAACATTGTTGCGTTTGGTTTTTAGAAAGGAGGGAAAAAAAAAAGAAAGGAAAAAGAAAAAAAAGAAAAAAACTCCTATCAGTTCGCATAATACACAACACACTTATGAGAAAAAAAAAAAAAAAAGGGAAGAAGAAAAGTGGAGGGCAAGGTGCTGAGGGGAGGTGGTAACCCCAAGTTCATTTCGTCACAAATTCTTTCATTTGACTGTTTAACGGGAGAGAGACAAAGGGAATGTCAAGGATGCGACAATGGGGTTGCCAATTGGTTAGGGAACAGTGCAGCTGCGGATGGAGGTAGGTCTTTGTGAGTTTTCTCCCCTCTGTGATATTATTCTCCTCTCGAGGGATTCTCCTTGGTATGTTTTCCCCTGTGTCCTGCTCCCTTGCTTTTACTTTGTGTTGTTCCTTTTCCCTATTCGCCAGTGCAACATACGACGAAGTTCCCTTCAAGTGGTCGACCTGGCTAGCCGCGCTGCGTTGTTCTTGCCCTTGCGAAAAATTCTGCTTGGCTCACTACCCGGTGGCGCTGCTTAAGCGGGACCCATATGTCCCTAAATTGGCTTGGGTGGCGACGCACATGCATGCATGCATCAGAGGCACCCCCGCGCGATGCCTCTACCTTGTCAGGTTCGCGCCAAGCAGAATCAAGCCATATACACGTATGGAAGTGCGCATATAATACGTACCAATGTATGTACATGGAAGCACCTGCTCGTGCGCGGATTGCACTGTTTTTTTTTCTCTCTCCAGCTTGCACAAAGGAAAGCTCCCTCAATTGTCAAAAACAAAAAAAAAAAAAAAAAAAAAGAAATTAAACAACTTGAATTATTATTTTTTTTATTTTTAACCCCGTTGATGAATACAATGTGACCTCCTTACGGGGGAGATACTTCTGGAGCTTCGTGAAAGTAGCTCTGAGCTCGGCAACGGAGTAGGAAAGGGCGCAACTAGCGATCGGAACAGTGAGCAACATTGACCGAACAAACCACATTGAGGAAGACCGAACCAACGCTGCGCATTTCCTACAGCGGAGCGCCCTTCCCCCTTCGCCGAGGGAAAGCCGTCCAACCTATCCACACGCATAGTCACTAGGCGAAGAGATGCAAAAGCAGAATGGAGGAAGAGAGAGATGACCTCGCTACGATGATCAGCATAATGGTAAGACGAAAAAGAAGGGACAAAAAATGCCTATGCGAGGGAGCACGAACTTTTTTTCTTCCAACATGAGAGGAAGAGAAAAAAAGTGGCGTGGGGGGGGCAAACTCCCCCCCCTGTGAGATGTTCGTCCTGAGAGGTTCCTCGTGAGATTCTTCTCACCCTCCCCACTCATGTGAGGATTTTCTGCTGATCCTGATTTGGTCTAGCGTTTTGTGCGTCTTGGCCACACAGCACCTTCACCTGTCTTCCCTCTCCCCTTCCCCACGCAGGAGAACGCCTCTGAACAGAGCATGAAAATCTCCTTCTTCGATGACGGGCAGTCGATGGAGTCCAAGAGGGAGAAAGACAAAGTGGAGGAGGAAGAGGAGGAGAATTACCCCCCAGGCATCAGCAATGACGAGATAAAAAGCCAACCCAAACTAAACGACGTGATTATTAACAATGAGGACCAAGCAGTTATGCTTGTAGATTTGAGGAGGAGAAAAAGGATGAATCCCGACGATGAATACTACTCTGTTAAGCTGCCCAAGTTTATAGGCGTGTGTCCCGATATAGGGAGGCTCCGTCGGGGGGCACGCGGTGAGGAGGCACGCGGTGAAGGGGAACGCGGTGAATGGGAACACGGTCAAGGGGTACACTTGGCGGACACACGCAACGTGATTGATCTCGAAGGGGACGGCCGCCACCCACACCTGGCAAAAAACCAAAAAGCGGTCATCTCCTGGAAGTTTGATGTAGACGCATATAACAGGGAAAAACGAAAAAAGGATTCCCATACGATGAAAGAGGAAGAGATCAAAAGAGCAAAACAGAAATATGTGCAAAGGGAGGATGCACCAAGACGTGGTGAAGCGATAGAAGGCCACTCAGACGGAAGCGACTTGCCTCATTTGACAGATGACGACCTCTCCGACTTTTGCAGTGTCGATGAGCTTTACCAAACATATCAGGTGACTCCCAGCTGCGATGACCTCATGAGCCTTCCATGTGATGACCCAAATGAGAAGACAACCATCTTGTGTCGAAACATGGAGTTCCTCGAAACCGATTCCTTCATTGTCGAATATGAAGATGGCAAACTCATTTTCTTTATTAATGAAAAACCATACCTTTTAGAATCCGACAAGGAGACCAATTATCTAATCGAACTGTCGGAGATGAGCATCCTTCCTATCCACTGCATTCTGGAGAAAAAAATTTTCCTCAAATCGATTACTCGAGAGGAACAGGGGGTCTCTCAGGGGAGTGCATCGCCTGGGATGGCTGACATATATTACTCGCTGCAAGGGTGACGCGGTGGATGCGGCGGAAGCGGTCGGACCTGTTTGGGATGTTGTTGCGATGTTGTTGCGATGTTGTTGGGAGGGTTTTGGCTAAGTGGCCACTCGCTTTTCTGTTGCCCTTCTGCTGGTTAATGCAAGTCGACCCCGACCCCCGTTCGAAGTTGCGCATCTTCTGTTCCGTCGAAGGGGGCCAGGTGAGATGGCCGAGTGGGAGGAAACACCCTGGGGGGAGGTACGTAGGCGCCTCCCCATTTGGACTCCCTTCCCTCCACGTTCGGTCTTCCTTCGCCTCCGTAACATTTAAGCCGATTAAGTTGATACTTCCATATGAGGGTAGCCCGTGGGGCTGCCTCCGCCCTCCCTACGTCTTCCACTTCGATGAAGGAGAATGTGTGAAGGGGTGGGGGGGGATCTGCTCCGACTTGTCCGCAAAGGCCCCCTGCGATTTATTCCATCACATGTGTATCTTTCCTTTTTGAAGATGCATGAGAAGATATTTTTTTTACTCTGTTCCATTCGTTTATTTATTATTAATTAATTTTTTTTTTTTTTGCGCAGTTTGGTTTAACCATGCGCCCCCTCGCGGTTTGGTCCATCTCTCATCATCCGGAGATGCTTTTTCGAATGGACAAGAAGTTTGTCCCAACGTGTGAGTCACACAATGTGTTGTAACTTGGCCGCAGTCTCCCACGAAGGGGGGTTATTTCGCTTATTTCGTTTATTTTGTCTATTTGGTTTATTTGGCTGTTTTTTTTTTTTTTTTTTTTTTTCTTGCCCTCCATAACTCAAATGCCTAGCTGCTTCCCTGCGAACAAAAAGAGCAACGCTTTAAAAGATTGTTTTATGGCACTCTCCGACTTTTTTTTTCCCAATTCTGTGTAATCGACCGGGGGAGTCACCAACACGGGCAGTTGTCACAGTTGACAAAGTTCGCACGTTGGTCCAGTTGGCGCAGTCGGCACAGCGGAAAAGACCATCATTTGTGCTTCGCCGAATGGGGAGAGCATCACCACAGGAAAGAAGAACCACTGAAATGCTATTCTTTCGCGAGGTGCTCAGGTTCGTGGCAATGCCTGTGTGAATACATTCGGTGAGCAGAGCGATGACGTCGGCTCGTCGTGGGGAGGGGGAGGCTCCAACGGATTGCTCTTGATCTCGCGGTACACAACGCGAACGGGAAAAAAAAAAAGAAAAAAGGGAAAAGAACAGGGAAAAGAACAGGGAAAAAAACAGAGGAAAAAAAACAGAGCAAAAGGGAGGAAGAAGAGAAGCAAAATAAAATGAGGTGAAATTTAGTGAAAAAATAAAAATCATGCCGCCCTCTTTTGCCTATCCCCACCGCGCGAAGAGAGAAGCTAAAACCATAGGGGGCATACAAAACTGCCACGCTCAGTTGGCCGATCTCGCAAGCCTCCTGTCACTTCAAATTTGGCGTGCGTGTTAGATCATAAAACCGGTAATCATTTGGAAGTGCTCTCCTGCAGAAGGCGCAGAGGGGACTCCCCCATATGCAGGAACTCGCCATTCTCCAACTTGGCGCGCTCACCCGTAGGCACGGGCGAGCTTGAAGAGGGTTCCCCCGTCTAACGGCCAATCTGATCACCCGTCCAACCAATAATCCGCTAATCGGCTAATCCGCTAATCCGCGCGATGGAATTCATAAAGGACCAATACAAAGCCATTTTGCTAGAACTCAAGAAGAACTTTAGAAACCCCCGAGATGGCATATCCCACGTCCTCAACGTAGTGTGTTTGCTGTTGAATGCCCTGATGATTTGGAAGCTGCTCGTCGTGCTTACAGGTAGGGCAGCCGTGCGTATGTGTGTGCAAATGCAGTTTTTGCTAATTTTGGGGCACCACTTGGTTGTGCTGTTTGGCGATCCTTCCCTTCTTGCGTCGTTACACCGCACGGGATAGGGAGGCTTCACCCTGCCGTACATGTGAAAGGGAAGAAATATATGTAACTAGCCTTTTTCTTTTTTACCGCTTTTTTTTTTATCCTTTCTTTTTTTTTTTTTTACCCTTTCCGGGGTGTGCATAATCCAGGCTGCGAATCCCCAGTTGTAGTTGTCCTGAGTGGCAGTATGGAGCCAGGATACTTCCGAGGAGACACCTTGGCACTGTACCACCCGCCGAACATCCATGCAGGCGACGTGGTCGTGTATCAAATAAATGGAAGAGACATCCCCATTGTGCATAGGATATTAAACATTCACATAGGGAAGGACGACAAATTTCATTTGCTATCAAAAGGGGACAATAACAACATTGACGACAGAGGGCTCTATGAGTCTAACCAGTATTGGCTAGAAAACGAACACGTGCTTGGTCTCTCAGTTGGATATGCGCCATACATCGGAATGCTAACCATATGGGTTAATGAATACCCGGCCATGAAGTGGGGAATTGTGTCGCTCATGCTGTTTATGATAGTACTCGGGTACGAGTGAATGGGGCGAACTTTTTTTGTTAAAATTGCCAAAGAAGGGGTGTTTCTTCACTTCTCTGTTTTTTTTTTTTTTTTTTTTTCCCAAAATGGCTAGCTATTTTGGTGTGTTGCTCACCCAGTCGGCCAACTCTCCTTTTTTCCCTTCTTAAAGTTTAATAAAAGAAATGTTAATCATTCTATTTTGTCACCTTGACCATGTTAGGCACATGGACTGATGTGTGCGTATTGGTTTTCTGTCCTGTATGATGTGCCTTTTTCCCCATCGGTTCTTCCTACTGATACATTTTTGTCCCTGCAGCGGTGCCTTTCTCGCTCTTTTTTTTTTCTTCTTTTTTCCACCGCAAAAAGGGGCAAGCAATCTGGACTACGCGAAGGAGTAAAACTGCCCTGAAGAGACAGTTAAGTGAATTTTTCACGCGTAACGGTTTAAATGTGCCATAAAGGGAAATATAGACGGTGTCCCTTTATGCATACTGGGAAAAGTGCTAATTAGAGCATTCACAAAAAGTGTGCCTGCGGAGTGGTAAAAGTGGGAGCTTCCTTTTTTTTTTTTTTTAATTACGCATATATGTGGACATGTGCATTTTGCTATGTATCTACACCATGTGTCGCAATGTTTCGAATGGGACCTCGTGGGTCGTGCCCCAGAGGGGGGAGTAGTACGCGTGGGTGGCTGGACATCCCCCTGTGCATATCCCACCCATTTGTCCTCCTCGCCGCCATGATCGAACCAATGGACGCCGCGTATACTCCCCTGTGGAATTGCAAACGCCGAGTGCCTCCTCGTGAAATGTTCTGGCCGAGTTGGGTGATCCCGTCCTAAACGTATGCACGTGTCCTTTTGTGAAGTTGCCAATTTTGTGAAGTTGCCGCTTTGTCGAGTTCTGCCCAAACAGAGCGAACCTTCGAGCGAGACCGCCCCTCCATTTTGCACTGCGTTTTTGTGTTTAATTTTTTTCTTCCCTTCCGCCGTTACGCCAACCGTTCTTAAAATATAGCCGTTTCTTCTTAAGTGACCATCTGTCTGTGCGCTTTCGGCTAGCCACACGTTACCACCTCGTTTTTTTCCTTCCCCGCAAAATGAATAATGGACACCTTTTCATCCTGCTGACAATATTGACCATCTGGGGCAGCAACCTCCATCGGGGCTGCACTGCTGAGAATGAGCACGACAAAAGGGAGAGCGCGGTAAGCTCAAGTGGGATTTTAAAAAACGTCGTCAAACATGCCCCCAAAGTAAGTTCCAAAGAAATTAAGGACAGCGAAATAGGGATAATTAAAATGGCACACGAAGAGGAAAGCAAAAGGTTACAACAAATGGGAAAGTGTGCAAAAGATTATACATTACCTTGCCCAAAATTCTGGAAAAAAAAAATTATGAACAAGTCAGAAAATATTTGCATAGCTAGCTCGACGTACAACGGATTTTGCAACCCCCGTCAATCCTTTGACAACTTTACACAAAATGAAAAAATAAAAATTGAAACGAGCTGCAATGTAGAATGGGGATGCAAAAATGTCGTATCCGATGCATGCGAAAGTGGGAAAAGAAATTACAACGAACCATGTCCTGAGGGTTTCATATCTCAAAATGACAACACTTGCACGGCTGACCTGACTGTGTATGATGGCCTCTGCAATGGCGAGAAGATTGACTTTACCCATCTCACCAAGGAGGAAAAACAAAATTGGAGTGTTGCCTGCGAAGCGTATTGGCCTTGTTACGTCGATTGTTCACTCAACAACAAAACACTCTCCATGTGTCCTTCCAACTGGAAAGAAACAAATTCATATGAGTGTATCCCACCTGCTAGCTACAACGGGCCATGCAAAGATAGAAAAAATTTTAAATTTTTCAGTGAGCTCATGAAAATCAAATTTGAGGAGAAATGCAAAGTTACTTTTGTGTGCACAGATTTGTGTGAAAAAGATTATCAGCAAGAGTGCCCCTTACATTGGATGAAGAAAAATGGCTACTGCTTAGCGCCTCCGTCTTTCAATTTATGCGACAGGAAAAAATATTCCTATAGTAACTTAACGCAGGATGAGAAGAAGCAGTTCGAGGACAAGTGCTCAGTTCAATGGCCTTGTCGAAAGAGCCACTTTTGTGACATGGACTGGACCGCTGAGTGTCCCCTCAACTGGGCGAATGAGGCACCGCGGGAAGGTGGCAGCCAGGATGGGGGCGACAAATACATCTGCACTGCCGATACATCCCTCTACAGCGGCAAGTGTGCGTTTATTTCCCTCCCGAATGGCGCTGACGAAGAGACCAAGCGGGAGGTGGCTTCCACGTGCAACACCCCCTGGCCGTGCTCCGCTACAGGTGGTGCTGCAGAGGCCACGTCGGATCGGAAAAGAGTGGAAGCAGGAGGTGCGGCTGTCACAAATGGCCCCGTCACTATCGACGGTGGCGTGCGCCCCAGCACGGGACCCGCTTATCGCGTGGTCGACAGCCAGGGGGACTTCCCCCTCGCGGACATCATGCGCTGATGTGGAATAGCTGCAGGATAGAAGCGGGACGCGGGACAGCGGCGCGGATGGGCGTTCCTCGGAGGCGCTCCAAAATTGTGTTGCAACCCTGTGTGGGTGCCCCTTCCCTTTTGATGTTTTCGCCGAGGGATAGCTGCATCTCGCCCTCACTACAAATGGGGTATTGGAAACAGCATTTTACGGCTCACCCCTTCAAACTAGTCAACCCTGTGCAAGGGAAGTTGCGCCACTTTTAACTCATCGTTGTGCGGTTTGATCTGTAGACAGACAAAACAGGTTAGCAACTGTGGGCACAACTGCCCCCTGAGAAGAAAAAAAAAAGAAAAAAA